TCTCACTCGTCCGATCTATATAATCTTGTTAGTCGATTGAAGTTGGAGCGACCTTACTGCTGCGTAGAAGATCATACCGAGCGCAATAAGCATACCACACAATCAGCAGTATCGTTCAATATATACCATTAAAATACGCATACTAAAGGCACTTTCGTAATTATCACATTCTCATGTAATCTTATCGGATGATTTTTAAACTAATACGACAATCGAATTATCATTATTATCATGAACCATTACTAACACATCAATTTATACTTATGTTATATATTTATCCAATATATAGTTAAATTATCATACCTATCTAATATTTATATATCATTATTTCTATACTCATCAATTCAAAGGCTACGATTATAATTTGAGATAATTTATTATCGTATATTTTCTTAATTCATCAGCTCCATTAGGTCTCCATCCTCTATTGTTTATCTTGACGACTTATTGATTATCATTCTGTATCACTCATCATATTCATTCAATCTTTATCTTTGGAAATCCATTACCATTATTAACTCATTCTTGTTCCTTTCTCGTCCTACCTGTTACATCGATTTTCCTAGTTTCACTTGTCATTAATTTCCCACTCTCCTCTTATGTTTTTATAACTTCATACATACATCCCGTCATGTCTCTCATTCATTCTCTTCTATTTATCTTCACCATCAGAATTGCGCTGGTCATATTTGCTTCTCCCCCATCTATTTCTCACTACTTCCGGCTCCTTGTTTACCTCTTGCTCTGCTCTCATCTTCTCTTATAACTACTGTCTTTCTATTTATGTCTCGCGTTAGACACCGAGTGCGGCTTCGATCCACACACTATATTATCACGGATGTTTTCTATGGTTATTCGGTGTATTCGCGTCTCGAAGTCGTACTCTTAACTTCAACTAGATCACTCACAATTTCCTTTTTCATCCTGTTATTTAAATATTATCATGCATGTACTAGAGGTGAATGATGATGAATTAATGTTTTTTTGTCATTGTTAATTAGATTATTAGATTGTTCAATGTCACTCATCTGTTCATTATGTGTGCCGGTTCCTTCCCTCTCCTGTCGCTCTCTTTTTCTTCTCTCATCTCTCTCTATCAATCCATTATCATCATTTTATCTAATCTCTACTCGTACTCCATTTATACTACTTTACTTCATATTATCTGTCTTTACTACTTATAATTGTTTATCATCTATTTATTTCTTATATCTTATTATCCTTACTATTAAATTTATTCGCTCATCATTTTTATTACTCCTTTGTTATTATCTATTCCATGATTGTTAACCATCACTTTCTCATTATCCATACGCTATTATTTACCTTTCCGCTCACTCATACTTATTTAGTTATTTATCCATCTTAAATTATTCATATGTCATTAAATTATACTATTGTTTCACTATTCTTATTTATTATCATTTCATAATATTATTTATTACATTCTTCTTGGGATCTATTTGACACTTATATTTATTATCTTTAGTGTGTTATTACACTCTCACATGATATACCATATTATTACAATTATTATCATTATTCATTAATTATTAATTATTATCATTATTATTCATTATTACTATTATTATCATTACTATCATTATTATCATTTTTAATATCATTAACCTCATTATGATAGTAATAACAATAGTGATAATTATTATTCTTATCATGGCCATCTTTATTTCAATATTATCATTATCATCACCATTATTATCATCAATTTTTATTGATATTATTATTGTTTTTTGTAATAAAATTTAATCATTATACATACCATTATCATCATCATTAAGTAATTACTCCAATTCTATATGATTATCAGCATTACCATCATTAAGAACAAAACCATAATCAATAGTCCCACCGTCATAATTACTATAATTAGTATCATCACTTTTATCATAATAATAATGTTTATAGGTTTGGTCCCTGAACCAGCGTATGACCTGTAAGGGTTAGATTGCCCTTGCTATGCCTAAGTTTGACGACCTTCTTGCACACCTCGGGACTGGGAGATGGAACCTGCTCTATGCCGTCGCTATGAGTTATTGTTCGTATCAAACACATGGGAAATTGTTCGTATTAGTGATTATATTGATCTTGGAGAAAGAAAATGGAATACTCTGCTCATAGGTGTATAGGTTGTCTTAATATCCAAAAAAAAATATATTGTTTATTATATCTACAGTAGGGGACATAATATCTATTTTTATTCTTATCTATTCATTTATTATTGTTTTGTTTTGTTTTGGTGTATATGTTGTCTTAATATCCAAAAAAATCTATTGTCTATTATATCTACAGTAGGGGGACATAATACAAATTTTCATTCTATCTATTTATTTATAATCTCTCTCTCTCTCTCTCTCTCTCTCTCTCTCTCTCTCTCTCTCTCTCTCTCTCTCTCTCTCTCTCTCTCTCTCTCTCTCTCTCTCTCTCTCTTTTTTTTTTTTTTTTTTTTTTTTTTTTTTTTTTGTACATATTTTCAGGGCAC